TTTTGTATTTTACAGTAGGGTCTCCAGGGTCTCACTACGTAGATCAGACTCAGTGATTCTCTTGTGTTCAGCCTCCCAAGGATCTGGGATTACAGGCAAGCACTGCCACGCCCAGTCTCAATTGCCCTCTCTTAATCACTCTCCCAGCTTGCCCCGGGGGCGGGGCCAGCACGGCACGCCAAGGATGGAACTCCAGCCGTTTCATCAGCCTAAGCAGGCACTTTAATCCGCTGAGCTATTTGGTAGGTCCAGAGTCCCCCAAAATTTAAAGACTCAATCCAAAAATGGGTGTCTGAAATGAATAGGTCTTTCTCAGGTGGAGAAGAAACAACATAAATATATGAAAAAAATGTTTCACATCACTGGTAATTCAAGAGATGAAATTAAAACAATGCTGCGAATTCATCTCACTCCAAAAAGTATAGCTATTTCCAAGAAATCAATCAATAACAAATTCTGGCCAATTGTGGGGGAAAAAGAACCATTTTCCACTATTAGTGGGAGTGTAGACTGTCACATTCATTGTGGAAATCAGTGTGGTGATTCCTCAAAAAACTAAAATTAGAGATTCCATTTAACCTAGCTATTCCCCTTCTTGGTGTCTTCCCAAAAGAATTAAGAACATCAAAGCACAGCAATAATTATACACCCATATTTATAGTAGCACAATTTGTAATAGCCAAATCTTGAAAATAGCCTGAATGTCTATCAAATGATAAAAAGATAATCAAGATGTGGGGGTTTGTAGCCTGGGCTACAAAGTGAGCTCAAGGCCACTTTATCCAATGGAGTACTACTCTCCCATAAAAAAGGCAAATTTGAGATATTTCTAGCTAAGTGAGTGCACTTTGAAGCCATACCCTTAAAGTGAAATAAATCAAACCTACATAATCATGTATCACATGGTTTCTCTGGCCTGAGAAACTGAGTGTCTGTAAGGATCAAAATGCATAATAGATCTTGGGAATAGAAAGCAACCATTCAAATTAGAAGGGGAAAAATGGTAGGTGAGGAGGAGAGAGAAGGGACAAGAAAAAAAAAACAGTAGGAAAAAATGGAAACAAAACTTTTGTTAAAAAAGATGGGAAAAGGATTTGAGTGAAAGGGATGAGAATTGGGAAAAAAGAATCAATATATATCACACACAGGTACAATTTCCCTATGAAGAATGTTACCATTGTGCATTTGTTGTTGTTGTTGTTGTTGTTGTTGTTGTTGTCAGATCATCTCTTCATTGATGTATTTTCTTATGCTCCTTAGCTAGCTGGGCACTCCACAGCACCATTGTTGATGTCATCTATGATGTCAGGAGGGTGCCGGCTGTCCACTTTGCAGCCCACAGACTGGGCAGTCCCCAGGATCTCCTTAATGGTTCTGGAAAGTTCTCTGGCTAAAGGCCAGTGCCGCATCTGTCGGGCAATGTTGACAATCTCATCAAAAGTGATATTTCTGCTGTGTTTATCTATAGAATAGACAGTAAAGATCTTGTCCCAATCCGCAGCCAAAAGACCACACAGCATGGTCTTCACCTAGTTCTGGGCTGTTCCCATGCTTTCGGCACAGAGTCACCCACACGAAGAACAACCTTGTTTCTTAAGCTGGAGTTAGTATCAACTCACTACTGCATTACACCAGCCAATAAAGAACTGGTCAGGTGCAGTGATATATTGTGTATTTTTAAAATGTGCCAGTAAAATAAAAAGGTAAGAAAATCATACACAAACTTTGCTCAAGGAGCTGTTATAAATAAGGCCAGCACTTAAAAATGGAGGAGAAGAAAAATAGGAAAGAACTCCTGTCTAATAGATGGAAATGACACACTTGAATAAGAGAAGCTACCACTCCGTAAAGCCAGGTTGCCAGTATTAAGAATGGGACAGTGGACTAGAGCACTTCTGGGCATTATCTCAGTCATGTTTTATAGCTCTGGAATTCTCATGACTCATGGTTGCATTCCATGAAATGATTGTGTCCAGGATACAAAATCAACACACGAAAGTCAACATCATTCCTTTGCTACGTAACCACGATAAAGAAACTAGAAAAACTAGAAAAATAATCTTATCCCTAATGAGTTATAAAAAGTTCAGGGCATGGTGGTGCACCATGAAATCCCAGCATTTGAGAGGCTGAGTCAGGAGAAGGGTTGTGGGTTCAACAGCAGTCTGGGCTACAAAGTGAGCTCAAGGCCAGCCTGAAACTGCATAGTGAGACCCTATCTCAAAAAGATAAGAAATTATATTTTAAAGTAACACTTTTAAAAAGAACCAAATGTTTAGGAATTATCCTAAGCAAAGAAGTGAGAGATCTCCATAATAAAAATTATACAATCCTGAAAAAAGAGATTGAAGAGAACATTAGAAAATAGACATCCTTTGTGGCTAAACAGGCAGAACCAAATTGTCAAAACAGTCATATTACCAAAACTTATAGGAAGGTTTCATAGAAACTAAAAAAAAAAGTTTAACAGTGTTCTTCATAGAAGTAGAAAAAAATTCCAAAATTTATATGGAACCAGAAGAGACCCAGAACATCCAATGCAATCCTTGCCAGAAAGAGCAAGGCAGGAGGCAGCATGGTCCCTTGGTTTTAGTTATATTATTATTATTATTTTTTTTGGTGGAACAAGGAATTGAATGTTTTTAGTTACATTACAAAGCTATAGTGATGAAACAGCATAGTATTGACATTTGATCTTTGACAAAGGGACCAAAAGCATACACTAAAAGAAAGAGTTTGATCCCTGGCTAGTTCGAGACTAGGTGTGGTGGTGTGTCTATAATTCCAGTGCTTGGGAGATTGAAAACAAGAAGATCACTATGAGTCTGATCTGTGTAGTGAGACCCTGTACTAATTACATAAAAATAAAATAAAACTCATATACACAACACAAAAGATAACATCTTATTAAAATGTACTAGAAAAACTGGTTGTCTACATATAAGAAAAAATCTAGACCCATATGTTGCACCATATATATATAAAAAAAATTAAAATGGAGCAAAGACCTAGATATTAAAACAGAAACAAAGGGCTGGCCAAATAGCTCAGTGGATTAAAGTGCATGCAAGCAGGCACAGGGACCAGGGGTTCAATCCCCAGGCCTGCTGTGCTGGCCCTGCCCCTGGGGTGCACTGAGACAGTGATTGAGACTGGGCGTGGTGGCACATGCCTGTAATCCCAGCTCTTGGGAGGCTTTAAACCAGTGGATCACTATGAATCTGATTTAGCAGTGAGACCGTGAACACCCTGTAGACCTGTAGACACCTTCCCTAAAATATAAATAAATAAATAAATAAATAAATAAATAAATAAATAAAACAGAAACAGTGAATCTTCCAGAAAAAACAAATGGTTAAACCCCTTGAAGACAAAGGCATAGGCAAGGACTTTCTGAATAAACTCCAACTGCACAAAGAATAACACCAAGGATCAGCAAAGGACATTATATGAAAAGTAAAACCCTCATCAGTTTCTAAAGAAACAAAATAATGGAGAAGTTCATGATTTACAAATGAAATATAGCTTCTCCATGACCTAGAATTAAGATGTGTAGAAAATACTAACTTGGTGAAGAGAAAAAATGAAACTACAGGAAGTAGGTCTTCCAGACTTGGGAAAGAACTGACAAGAAAATTAGAAGGTAAATAGAACTGGGAGAAATTAATCACAATGCAGAAAAAAGAATAAAATGTACTAGAATCTTTTCCCAGCTTCTGGTGAGTGGACTATGTTTCTGCAGACACAAGTGATAAGAGACAGCCATGAGATACAGTCACTGAGAGGGTTGGGCTAGACATAGAATTCCAGGAAGTTTAAACTCAGGTTAGAAAGATTTCAGGATCCCACCATGTGATGTGAGAAGTCAGGCCTGGTGTGTGTGTGTGTAGCTTTCAGAAGCAGCTGGATCCAAAAGTCCTGGCATCAAGTACCCTAATCTTCTTGAATTTGAATTCAATTCTGCCACATTCAGCGTAGATAGAAGGTCTGCTTACTTCTCTCATCTATCAATTTGAGCAAGGACATACCTCAGCTTGGACAGTTCCCATTGCCTGGGGTGAACAAACAGTGGCCACAGCTACAAGAAGAGATGGTAACACAGCAGAATAGCTCCACACATGCAAAAAAAAAAAAAAGTTAGGGGAGAGGGAACTTATTCGGCTATTCAGCTAAGCCACCAAAGGAGGCAGAAAGGACCTCCTCCTCTGGAAAGCTGACCAGGAGAAAACATTTAAACAAATCACATAGCCCTTGACTCAGGTCCCAGCCTTAGAACTCTCAGACAACACAAGCCTTTTTCCCATATGTTCCTCCCCCCCCCAAAAAAAAGGCTATAGACGTCTTAACCCAGGTTAACATCATGTTATGGTGTACTTGTCAAAACATACTCTGTAGCCCTAGGGTGGTTTCTCTGTGCTTTAGGGCACTTGTTCCCACCACCTTGCTGATGCAGGAAGCTGACTTTGGGGCAACAACAGGCCATTTGGGTCCCACATTCTGTCATCACTTTAATGAACCACAAAGGGCACCATTGGTTGTCAAATCCAAGGATTGCATGGATATCAGATATGTGAAAATCCCCACATAACTCTAGTGACAGTAACCACTCTTCACCCAGCTCCCAGGTGAACTGGAAGACCCGCTTCATGACTGATTGGTTCTGCTAAAAGGGGTCCAGTGAACAAGATGTGCAGTGGCGACTCGACTCTGTGGTACAGGCTCGGCCTCTGCTTACCAGAATCTCAGCCCAGAAGGTAGAGCTAACAGCCTTGACAAGGGTTCTGTTGCTGACAGAAACACAACAGGTCAACATCTATACTGACTCCAATATTAAAAAAAAGAGGGGTCCTAATGGTTGGGGGGAAGAAATAAGGTTTAAGTAAGAGATTTTATAGTTTCTTGATGCTATATGGGTCAAGAAAGTGAGCATTATACACTGTAGGGGGCAGCAGAGGACTGGAACATTAGAAACTGGAGAAAAACAAAAGCTGGACAAGGAAGCATAGTAGGCTTCTACGACAGCTCTGACAGCCCTGCAAACTGTGGCCCTAACTGTGCCCCTAATCCTGGAGCTTCCTCTCCTGTAGACCTGAAATTACTCTCCAAATAAAAGGGCATGATTTGCCTGGAAATTCTATCAAGTGAAGATAGTGGAAATTCTCTGATGGGAGACTAGCCATCCTTGAAATGTTGGGCCCTAGGTTTGTAAGACAAGGGACTCCAGTGTCATCTGAAACAAGATGACACTGAGAGACACTACTAAGATGCCAATTTTGTGTGCCACAGCTCATAGCCATCTATTTGTAAACAATGCCTAACCTGTGCTCAATACAATTTGAGACAATGGATCACTCAGCCCCTGGGTATTCAAGAAATGGGTGTCTCTCCATATGAAAACTTGCTTGCAAACTTCTCTGACCTGCCTTGTACAGGAGGCTATCAATATATGCTGGTATTTGTCTACACTTTCTTAGGATGGAAAGTTTTCCATGCCACAATAGAAAAGGCACTGAGGTAACAAAGGTACTATTGAGAGACATCCTTCCAAGATTTGGATTGCCCCCACCTTGGGTCAGACAATGGACTAGCATTTGTAACAAAGATAGTTCTAGGACTCACCTCACACAAACTCAGCTGTTCTCAGCAGGAAAAGTATCATGATGAGCTTCTCCAACAACTTATGCTTGCATGCTGTTGGCAACAATCCTCAGGTGGGTCTTCCACACCTACGACCAGAATGGTTGAAGTAATTAAGATCATGAACCACCGCACCCTGTACCAGTCAGTTGTTCGGTCTATTCACATCCCTTTTTCTGCTGTGAGGTGGCTGGTAACACACAGGCTCTGAGGTGTATGCAACAACCATGTAAATTCATATGAGGTTCTTTTGTTTCTGTCTGACCAAATCAAAGATGGCCACTTATTTTGGTAAAAAGGAGAGATGATTTATTCAAAGCCAGCACAGAGGAGCTGAAAACAGGTGGATCACTGTGAGTCCAATCTAGTAGTGAGACCCTGAACACCCTATAGATCCTTCCCTAAAATACAAATAAATACATAAATAAATAAAAATTAAAATTAAAATTTAATAAAAGCTAGCATAGAGGAGATGGAGAGGCCTATTTTTCTTGTCACTCTCACCTTGAACAGGGTCTTTGGTGAGGGACAGTGAGGGAAAGGAATACACTAAAATAATAGACATGTCCAATGTTTTCCACCCATTCATGGACTGGAAATTCACCCTCTCTGCCTAAGGAGATGACACTGAACTTTGAACTCCCAGTGCCAGATCTTCTTATTCTGTCCGTTGATCTAGGCTGAGAAAGGCCTAGATACCCTTCAGGAAGGCCTGAAGGTAACTGTTTAGGCCCTAGTCCTGAGGCAGTTTGCCACTTGTCTCCAAAAGAACAACAACAACAAAAAAAAAAAAAAAAAAAAAATCTCTGCTTTTAAGGCCCAAATGATTTAAGAATCATTGTTGTGATTCTTATTCTTGTTATCTTGTGACAAGGTCTTTGTACGTAGCTCAGGCTGGCCTTGAACTCATTGTATAGCCCAGGCTGGTTTTGAATGTAGGGCAATCTTCCAACCTCAGCCTCTTGAGTGCTTAGTTGACAGGTGCACACCACCACTCTAACCTGAAGGTCCATTTGGCAGTAAAAGTTAG